GTATTTAGAACATTTCAGCACTTCCAAACATATTCCATTCGTTACCCCACACCCCCTACGTGCAGACACAAACACTATTATCTGTGAAATCAAAACACACATATGCAGGAACCATAGATCCACATGGACACTTAGCCTCACTGCACCCATTTCTCAGCACTGGCCTGAAATATCTTCTGTTCTCATAAAATATCCCCAGTTAGCCTGCAACCTTTTGTGCTAACACAGTGATGAACACTCAACATTTTTCTGCTGCTGATATTTCTCTGTAATGCCCTGCTATGAGTTTAACTCACCTTGAACATCCACATTGCCAGTGAAAAAGACAGTTCATTAGGGGAGAAAAACTTGGCAGTTTAAGCAGACAAAAAGTGTAAAAGGTTGAAAATGTAAGAAGGCGAACACGTGAAGACAGCCTGGGTTGAGTAGAGTGTGGAGTATATTCTAACACGTTTCTTGTTCATGTATTATTTCGCAGGGCTTGTCCGTGATGGTGTTCTGTATGGACAAGAAACCGTGCCATGACAGAGGGCAACGTGGGTAAAAGAGACATGCAACGCCCAGCCCTGCACCACTACCACCTCTTCCTGGGCGGGGCTTTGCTGCTTCTCCTGGCCAGCTCAGCTCAGAGCTGCCCCGCCCGATGTGAGTGCTCTGCACAAAGCAAGTCAGTTAGTTGTCACCGCAAACGCCTGTCCACGGTCCCTGAAGGTATCCCTATTGAGACTCGTGTCCTGGACCTCAGCAAGAACAAGCTACGCATCATCACGCCAGACAACTTCTCTTCATTCCAACAGCTGGAGGACCTGGATCTCAGCGACAACCTCATCACTGTGGTCGAGCCCAGCTCATTTCGCTCCCAGCTCGCTCTTCGCTCGCTCAACTTCTGCAGTAACTTGCTTCAGCTGGTGCCTGCTGGTGTCCTGACAGGCCTGACCAACCTCACCCGCCTTGACCTCAGTCACAACCGACTGGTAGTTCTTCTGGATCATGCCTTTCAAGATCTGCGCAGGTTAACATCCCTAGAGGTGGGTGATAACGAGCTGGTTTTCATCTCTCAGCGAGCCTTTATAGGATTACTTGGCCTCCAAAGTCTGACCCTGGAACGTTCCAACCTTACCATGGTCCCTACCGATGCTCTGGCACATCTGCACAGTCTGGTTGAGCTGCACATGCGATACCTGAGCATTAGCTTTCTAAAACCTTTCTCCTTTAAAAGGTTATCTCGTCTTCGCCAACTAGAGATTGATTACTGGCCCTGGCTGGATACACTGCCTCCCCTCTCACTGCATGGCCTCAACCTCACAACACTGTTCATAACTAACACTAACCTGTCTGCCTTCCCCAGTGCAGCACTACGCAACCTGCCCTACCTCACACATCTCAACTTGTCCTATTGCCGCATCCAGCACATCCATCAAGGAGAGCTGGGCCAACTCCCACACCTGCTGGAGCTCCGCCTCCAAGGGGCTAGGCTGGTTTCTATCGAGCCTTTTGCTTTTGTGGGCCTCAAATCTTTGCAGCTACTGGATGTGTCACAGAACCGCCTGGACTCTCTGGAGAGAGGAGTGTTTGCCTCACCAGACATCCTCCAGAGGCTTTGTCTGGGTGGAAATCCATTAGTGTGTGACTGCAGATTGCTTTGGCTGCTCAGTAACCACAAACCCGCCTCTCTGCAGATTCTGGATGACCAGCCTGAGTGCAGTGCCCCTGAGCACCTCCTGGGGAAAACTCTCCGTGACCTCAAGGAGCCTCTGGTTTCCAGATACATGACTTGCACCAAGCCACGGATTGGACCCAACACAACACAGCTGCTGATGGCTGATGAGGGTCAGCCAGCTCGCCTGAGCTGCATGGCGGAGGGAGCACCTCGACCCTCTGTGGTCTGGATTACACCTCACAGACGATACATCACAGCCAAGAGCAGCGGTAGGGTAGAAGTCCAACCAGATGGTTCCCTGGAGATCAAGGCAGCGGAGCTACATGACAGCGGGGTGTACTTGTGTATTGCTAGTAATCCTGCTGGCAACGCTAGCCTGTCAGCCTCTTTAGCTGTGAAGAGCCTGGGCATTGGGGACAGATCTCATTATAGCAACAGGGGCTCATACAATCTCACAGACTCTAACAGCACATGGGGGAATGGGACGGTACTGTACAACATGACAGCCCCTATAGATATTAAGACTATCATTATATCTACAGCCATGGGCTGCCTGTCATTTCTAGGTGTGGTCATTTTCTGCTTCCTGCTTCTGTTCGCCTGGAGCAGGGGGAAGGGACGCCACAAGAGTAGCTTTGAAATAGAGCATGTCCCTCGCAAATCCAACGGGGCATCATCTGAAGTGACAGAAACAAGCGGCCCACGACGGGTCAACATGAAAATGATTTGAAAACAACACAGACTGTCGATAGTAACATCAACATATCAGCTGAAAAAAAATGTTGTTTTTTTTTCTATGACAGTGGATTTGTGACACACGAAGGTGATGTACTATTGGGTGTCAATATGACGGTGATCTAGTGATAAAGTGGACATGTGAATATAAAAGTGATATATGAAACTGTGGATGTGTTTATATGAAATTATGTTCTCATACAGTACATTGAATATAATACTATAACCAACATATCAATATGGGAGTGATATACAAGGCATGTGTTTCAGTGGTGATGTGATGAGTAATGGCCGTGACATCAAGGTGAAGGAGGGAGCTACTGAGAGTGACAGGGGATGTGTTGGCAGGGCAGTCAAGTGATTATTGGCGCAACATGTCAGCACTAAATTGTCTAATACTCATCTTAGCTGCAGTATGAAAGGTGTGTGTTGTGTTCATGTGTGCATGTGTGTGCGTATGTGTGCGTGCATCAGTGTGCGCATGTTGCATTTGTGTTTTGTGCATGTGCACGCATTGCCTTTCTTTTTTGATGGAATAATTAGGGTCCAAAGCTTTTTTTCCAGGCATTTATTCTTGTTTGGTCATTATAACAACAGTTTTGTCACTATTGAGTAAAACAGAGGACTTTCTATGTTTGTATGCAAAATTGCAATTATTATATTCAAGAAAAATGCTGCATTAATTTTGAAATAGGTTGATGTCTGCCTTGGAATAACTCTAACATCAGAGGGGATTTTTCTAAACACAAGAAAATGTTAAACACGGTAGTTACAATGTGATGCCAGAGCTTTGTTTTTAGTATAGAACTCGCTTTCCAGTAGCATTAGACACCCAAGAAATAGCAGTGGTCAGTGGTGATATTACTCTGGAAAACCTTCCAGTTATAGAAATGGCATGTTAAACCTGCTTTATAAGATTATAAATCATGGGCAGATTTTCCTGCCAGACAAATCCCTTGATATGATATAAAAGAGTCGGTGGCCAGACAGTGGCAAAGATTTACCAGCCTGTGCCCTGGGTGGGACAAGACAAAGGTGAACCTCATAGATTTATGGGTTTGAATTTCCCCTCTCTCTCTCTCATTTTTCTTTGATTGCACCACTTAAAGCTGGCGTGTCTGGATTCTTCCCTGAGGAACCAAGAGGTTCTGGGTATTTAAACAAACACAAATTGAAAGTTGTAGTGGAATCTTGTATTGTTTTTTTTTTTTTTTTGTTGGTTTTTTTTTGGAAATGTTTTCAATGTTGAAAAAAATAAAGTAAAAATAAAACTATTAAGGGCAACTCTTTGTAATGCAGGAACGTGGGTGTTAACTTGTGTGATCCTGTTGTGATAAAATGTTCGAGGTTGTATAATTGTTTTCATATGACAAATTTATGGATATATTTTCAAATTGAAATAAAACTTAATCATACCCTTAAGAGTTCCAGTAGTTTAAATGCTGTTTTTCACTTTCTGGTGGAACATATTTTAAAAGATTTGTATATTATATTGTTAATTTCCAGTTTTATTATTACCATAATATTTAAAAATATTCCTACAGTTAATCAATGACAGTTGTATTAATACAGTCTTGACTTTACCAATTTTGCACTGACTTTTTTATTACTATTTATGTGTTGTCAGATACAGCAGTAAACATTCTGTTGTAACTGCTCAACAATCAATGATATAGATTTTTTCCTCATGTGGTCAGTATAATATTAGGACCATATGATATATTTTTGTACATTTATCTATCTTCCTGGATGGTGCAGTGGTTAGCACTGTCACTTCACCACAAGGAGGTTCAGGGTTCAAACCTTGTGGCTGACAGGTGCTTTTCTGTGTGGGGTTTACATGTTCTCCCTCCACCTGCATGGGTTTTCTCCTGGTACTCCCACAGTCCAGAGATGTGAGTGTTAGTAAATTTCTCTGTACATGTGTCAGCCCTGTAATAGACTGGTGATTTGTCCAGTGTGTACCCTCTTATCAAATGTCGGCTAGGAATCTGCTCCACCACAACCCTTTGAAGGATAAGAGGTATAGCTAATGGATGGCTGCCTTGTGTTTTTGCAAGAATTTGACAGCTCAGTCTGTGTCGTGTCCAAAAGGGTTAAAGGGGTAATAAAAGAAGAAGTGATTTGTTTCCCAGTACGTAGCACTAACCAAGCCTGAACACAATATTCACAATATTCAATATGGAGGTGAAGGCACTGTCTAACACGTCGCTCCAAAACAGCAGTGATGCAGTGTTTATGTAGCCTAAATAGCCTGTAAGCAAAAACATGCCACATTACAGTACATGACCTAATAATATAGTCTAAAAAAAACCTACATGGCCTATCTAAAGACATATCAGTATATTTTCATCCAGACTTTTACATGCTTTACTGTAAGCAGTTTTTAACAGCTGCCTTCCTCACTGCCTCACCTGATGATCAGATTAAAGGGAACACTAACTTGACATCCTCCTCTAACAGAAGGCTTGTTTTTCAGACAGCACACAGTGCTATCATATTAATGATAAAATGAACTTCACTTTCTGTTTTTGTCTGCTGCCATGGCTTTGTGAAGACAGGATCCCTCCAGAAAGGCTTTTATCATTTTCACTGCAGTTTCCCTTTCACAGAGACAGTGCTGTAAACAATGGAGAGGAAATGTAATTAATCTAATACTGTCTAGTTTCCTCACACTATACCGGTCATAAATGGAGGATTTCTAAATCAGTTATTTTATACTCTGATCTCATACAAGTGGTTAACAATGTGGAATTTATATTAGAATGTAAAAGATCTCCCTGCTCAGTGATCTAGTAAAGAAGCACAATGCTATTAGCTTTGTTTTACACCTGTGGTTAAAATCGAAATCATCATTTACTGTACTAAATAAACAGTATGGCAACACTTGAACTGAATCGAAACACTTTAGGACTGTTTGGTGGCGCTCAAGTAGAGGTGTTCACAGTTAAGGCCAAGCATCCCTTCAGGAATAATTTCACCTGTCATAAAGGATCTTCATAAAGAATCTGTCACAACCGTGCAGCTGCATCAAAGAGCATGAATTAAAATGAATCAGACTTTATGAAGCTGGTTGCAGTAGATCAGTACAATCAGTAACTACAGACACTCACAATCTTTCACCAGTGTTGTGCATTAACGTGCTAATAAAGTGCCATTCATTAAATCCACTCATTTAACTGAATGGTTCACTTTTGCACCTATGTAACATGAATGTGAGTTTCATTAACATGCAATGTAATGAAGTGAACAGCAAAGGCTTCATTTAATAAGACTGTGACAACAGTGCACTAAAGAAAAACTCCCTCTCCACGTTTCCACAGCAAATTCTAAGACTGCTTGTTTTGTTTTCTGCTTCAGCATCACATACTCTCATCAGCGGGTGGCCAGTGCCAGTGGTGATTCAGACAGTGGGGCTGGGTTGGATGGGTAGTGAAATTTTTTTTTGTTTTTTTACTGCTCAAAGCAGCTCATTTAAAAGAATTGCAATGGAAGAAACTAACATGAACTTAGATTTTTTAGGCTGTGAACTTAGTTAAAAATAAAAAATTCTGAATTATGATGGTGAACTAGTTCATTTTAATGTGTGTGAAATGAACTCTGAGCCAGCTCTTGGGAAGTGTGAACTTGTGTGACACTGATATTCACAGTAATCAACAATCTTCTGTATGAGCATCAACCAAAGCTCAGTTCAGGGATAGTGTTACCCGAAACAATACTCTTTGCAGATTAACATTTACACTTGCCCTAAATATTTGTTTAATTATTTAAAGTCCTTTAGGGCAACACCAGACAATAAGAAATCAGGAAATACTCATTTTATTTTTATTAGCACTGTATTTATTGTCAAAATCAATGCCATACTTTGAACAAATCCCCACTGACTACTGAAGACCAGCATCATATGAACTGAAAGTCACCAGATTATCTGCATACATATGGTGGTTAATGAGAGAACAAATTATTTATATAAATCTTAAAAAGCAAAGGATATAAAATACAACTGACTGAACCCCAATAGTCACATGGAAAGGAGCGGACAGAGAATTCAGTCATTTTACTTATATCATCTGATGTACATACCTGAATACCAGGATTCTCGCTACAAATCTAGGAACCCCTCAGTTTGTAAAATATATTTTCATGATTTTATTACAATCAAAATCTTTATCAATAAAATCTATATATGTGAAACTAAGTTTATGTAAAATCAAATCAAATTTTATTTGTATAGCGTCAAATCACAACAAAAGTCATCTCAGGACACTTTACAAAGTAAGGTCTAGACCTTACTGTTATCAATATTATTACAGAGGGGAAACCCAACAAATCCCCCTTGAGCAAGTACTTGGTGACAGTGGGGAAGAAAAACTCCCTTTAACGGAAGAAACCTCCGACAGACCC